TGACCCTCCACCATGCTTCACAGTAGGCAAGGTGTTCTTTTCATCATAGGCCTTGTTCTTCCTCCTCCAAACATAGCGTTGATCCATGGGCCCAAACAGTTCTAATTTTGTTTCATCAGTCCACAGAACACTATCCCACAACTTTTGTGGTTTGTCCACATGGCTTTTGGCATACTGCAGTCGACTCTTCTTATTCTTTGGAGACAGCAAGGGGGTACGCCTGGGAGTTCTGGCACGGAGAGCCTTCATTACGCAGTGTGCGTCTTATTGTCTGGGCTGAAACTTCTGTACCCACATCTGACAAATCTTTTCTCAGTTCCTCAGCAGTCACACGGGGACTTCTCTCCACTCTACGCTTCAAAGCGCACAGCAGTCGAAGTCAGCATCTTCTTTCTGCCACGACCAGGTAGCGTTTCAACAGTGCCCTTTGCCTTGAATTTGCGAATGATGCTTCCTAAGGTGTCTCTTGGTATGTTTAACATCTTTGCAATCTTCTTATAGCCATTGCCCTTCCTGTGAAGAGAAATCACCTCTTCTCTTGTCTTCCTGGACCATTCTCTTGCCTTCACCATGTTTTGTAACCACACCAGTAAATGTCTAGAAGGAGCTGAGTATCACAGTCATTTTAAAGCTGCCTAATTGTTGCTTATTATGCTTGATTGCTGCTCGGTGACATCCACAGGTGTTTTCAATACCTGATGGAAAGCACCTGTATGAACCTCTGTTCTTCAGAGTGGTAGTCTTTAAGGGGTTGAATAATTGTGGCAATGAAGAAACCACATAAGAACCATTTACTACTGTATTACATAAACAATTGATGTCATTTTAGTTGCATTTGGGTAGTTACAACGTCCTTGTAGGATTTGATTCTGAATACAATTCCAAATGTACACTATAGTCCCTAAACCCCTTTACAGCATTGGGGGTTGAATAATTTTGGCCACAACTGTATAATGCTTTTTTTAATTTACAAAGCAACTGGGCAAAGAGGATCCTTACTAAAATTTCAGAAAGAGATCCTAGAGGCCCTTTTGTATCCAAAAGGTGCTGTGGCCCAAACCCCAAATCCAGATGCAGTGAGCCTGCTGCATTAGAGGCACTTTTCTGATGTCCTCTCTGGTACCCCAAACCAAAGGTCACCCCAAAGAAAATGTTTGTGTCTGTAGCAGACACAGAGTAAAATGAGACACCCATTTTTTCTGTCCCTCCTGTCCTGGCCAACCTGGTCTCTGTCTCAAGGAATGCTTCCGTTGCTACCACACGCTAGTGTAATATTAGTATAGGGCACAACATGGCACAGTCTAGGGCACACAATTCACACACAATGGTCTCAGATGTTAGATAGGCAGGAAACTGTCTATCGCATTTTGGAAGACCCTGAAATCAAGGACTGGAATGTTTACAGTTACGGTTCTGATAACGTACAAAAAAAGTAAAAAAGATATAGAAAAAATTTAAAAAGTAGAAAAAAAAGAAAAAAAGTATATATTGTTACATTTCATTAGTGTTTCATTAGTAAACTTTGTTGTTTGCTCTGCAGCATTGATCTGTTTATACTGACAGCAACAGGGTGTTGCTGTCAGAATATATACGTCAGTGCTTGCTGCACTGCAGGAGTAGATTTCAGTTCAAAGAACGTATATGCCCAAGAATATATGCTTCAGCATATATTTTTTTCTCTTACTTGGCAGAGCTTTTTTCATCCAATGTGAATGGAGGAATCTGTTAGGTTCTTTATTTTTCATTCAGCCCACAGGGTACATTAAAAAAAGAACATTACATGTATGAGCAACAAAGACCAGCGATGTACCTGAGTAGTTATACCAAGGTGATGCCTGTATCTGCAGGCATCATCCCTGCATTATTTTTTTCAGCTGGCAGTTGGCTTTCTTGCAAAAGCAATCCTAGTGGCTAATTAGTCACTGGATTGCTTTTAAAAGCTACAAGAGGGGACTCCTCCACTGCCTTCCATGGCTTTCTCAGGCTCTTGAATTTAGAAAGCATCTGATGTTATTAGATGCTGTTAAGGGCAGAGGAAAGATCTTGGTTCTCATAGACAACAAATTTCTCAGTAAAGTATACCTGTCACAACCTATTGCTATCAAAGGGGATATTTGCATTCCCTGTGATAACAGTAAAAGTGATTAAAAAATTAAAATTAAAGGGACAGTTGAAAAAATAAAATAAATAATTAAAAAATTAAAGCACCCCTACCCCCCATGCTTGTGCACAAACAGCGATTGAACCACACATCTTAGGTATCATCACGAACATCAGATCAAGGACAGTAATTCTAGCATGAGAACTCCTGTATAAATCTAAAGTAGTCATCAGTAAAAGTTTTTTAATGCATAGCCTATGGATAATAAAAATTGTACATAGTTTGTCGCTGTTTGCACAGGCGTGCGCGACTTTAAAGCATGAGATGTTTGGTATCCACACATCATCTTTTATAGTTTACCAAATAATTGCGTATTATGTTGTATTTTTGTGCATTAAATGTAAAAAAAATTAATTTGTTTCCAAAAAAATTGCATTTGAAAAACCATTGCACAAATACTGCTTGACATATAAAATTGCAACACCTACCATTTTATTCTCTAGGATCTCTGCTTTAAATAAATATATATATACAGTATATATAAAGGCTTGGTCTTCAAGAAGAGTGGGTGATATGTGGTGAAATCTCTGAATGTTGGGCATAAAATGCCAGGACAGTAAAAACACCCACCAAATGACTCCTTTTTGGAAAGTAGACAACTCAAGGTATTTGCTGAAAGGCATGGAAGGTTTTAAAAAATGTTCACTTTAATTAGATATTTCTCGCACATGCCACGGGTATATGTGGAATTACATCCCAAAACACATTCTGCTACTTCTCCTAGGTATGAGAATACCACATGTAAGAGACTTTTTGGCAGCCTAGCCATGTACAGGAGCCCAAAATCCAATGTCCACCTTTAGGCTTTCAAAGGGTGTTATTTGCTCATTCCACTTTCTGACTACCTATCACAGTTTCAGAGGCACTAAAATGGCAGAATGGCAGGCAAAAAACACCCCACAAATGACCCCTTTTTGGAAATTAGACACTAAAAGGTATTTGCATAAGAGGCATGACAAGTATTTTGCAGATCTCATTTGTTGCCACAATTTGTGCGAGAATAAATAAACGAAAATTTATTTTTTCTTTTCTCTTTTTCTTTTTTAACCTTTTGTCAAAAATATTTTTTTTTTTTTTAATTTTTTCAAGACCTTGTGACAAAAAATTAGATCTGCAAAATACTCATCATGCCTTGGAGTGTCTACTTTCCACAAATGGGTCATTTGGGGGGTGTTTGTATTACCCTGGCATTTCTGGTCCTCCAAAACCTGATGGGTTATCAGGAAATGAAGCGAGGAAATTGCACCCTTTGCAAGCCTTAAGGTGGTCATAGGTATTGGGCCTCATGTACTCAGCATGCCTCTCTCAGCAAATACTTTGGGTGTCTGCTTTCCAAAAAGGGGTGGTGTTTGTGCTATCCTGACATTTCAAGGCCTCAAAAACAGTAATAGGTAGTGAAAAAGTGACATTAGGTAATACAGCCTTTGAAGTCCTGATGGTAGCCATAGGTTTTGGGCCCAAGTATGCAGCTAGATCCCCAAAATGTCTCACACATGTGGTATCCCCATACTCTGGACAAGTTTCAAAATGTGTTTTTTTAGGTGTAATTCCATATGGCATGTGTGAGAAATATATAATTAATGTGACAACTTTGTGTAAAAAAATTAAAAACTGTAATTTTCAAAAAAACGTACAGCAAAAAAATATTCCAAGTACTCAGCATACCTCTCATCAAAAAGCTTTGGGTGTATACTTTCCAAAAAGGGGTTATTTGGGGGTGTTTGTACTGCCCTGGTATTTTAGCACCTCAAAAAATGTGATAGGCAGTCAGAAAGTAAAAGCTGCATACATTTCAGTATACAATATATACCATAGTTTGTAGACACTATACCTTTCACACAAACCAATTATATACACTTATTGGGATTTATTTTTACCAAAGACATGCAGCAGAATACATTGTGGCCTAAATTCATGACTAAATTGATTTTATTTGATATTTTTTATAACAGAAAGTAGAAAATACAGTTTGTTTTTCAAAATGTTTGATTTTTTTTTTTTGTTTATATAATAAAAACCACAGTGGGCATAATTTTTTGTGTAAAAAATCTACATACATTTCTTTTGGGTACAGTGTTGCATGACCGAGCAATTGCCACTTAAAGTAGAGCAGTGTTGAATAGCAAAATATGCTCTTGTCATGAATGGGATAAAACCTTTTGGTTAATAAGTGATTAATAAGAATGTGATTTTTTTATTGCCCTCTATAGTTCTTCATTAAAGCCCTATAATTAAAGGCATCTTCTAGGCGATTGCATTCATTAAACTTACAAAGCATGCTGCCTAATTGTTTTAGGTACATTTTAAATATGTTTAATGTAAATACTGTATATTAAGATATATAGAGATAAAAAATATACAGAACTGTTTGCCAAATATGGGTTATGTATTATATTTTGTACTAGATACAGTATATTTATGCACCAATTCAAACTAGACTTGTGCAGACCCAAAAAGTTTTGTTCCATTTCAAATCGCTTAGTTTTTGTTAAGTTTTGTTTAACCACCTTCCGCCTGCCCTATAGTACAATAACGGGTGCAAGGTGGTTCTCTCGTTCTGATAGGACGTCATATGACATCCTACCATTCTCACTGCGCATGCGCGGCTCAGGGAAAGAGCCGAAGATGTCGGCTCGGTCATGTGATCAGCTGTGTCCAATCACAGCTGATCACATGTAAACATGGAAATGCCGGTTATCGGCATTTCTCTCCTCTCGAGCTGTCACGCTGACAGCTCGAGAGGAGAGCTGGTAATCGGCTTTCCGCGGACAGGACATGTACACTGATCATCAGGGCACTGATGATCAGTGTGCCCTGATAATCAGTGTGGCCCCAGAAGTGCCACCTGTCAGTGCTCATCAGTGCCAGTGCCCATCAGTGCCACGTTCCAGTGCCCATCAGTGCCACATCAATGCCACATATCAGTGCATACCAGAGCACATCAATGCCACATATCAGTGCCCATCTGAGCTGCCTTTCAATGTCACCCATCAGTGCCAGTCAGTGCCACCTATCAATGTCAATCAGTGCCCCCTATCAGTGCTGCCAATCAGTGCCATCTATCAGTGCCAGTCAGTGCCGCATATCAGTGCCAGTCAGTGCCAGTCGGTGCTGCCTAACAGTGCCAGTCAGTGCCGCCTATCAGTGCCAGTCAGTGCTACCTATCAGTGCTGCCTATCAGTGCCATGTATCAGTGACATGTATCAGTGTCATGTATCAGTGCTGCCTGTCAGTGCCCATCAGTGATGCCTGTCAATGCCCATCAGTGCCACCTACCAGTGCCTCCTCATCAGTGTCCATCAGTGCAGCCTATCAGTGCCCATCACTGCAGCCTCATTAGCCCACATCAGTGAAGGAGAAAAATCACTTATTTACAAAATATTACAACAAAAACTAAGAAAAAACATTTTTTTTTACAAAATTTTCAGTGGTTTTTGGTTTGTTTAAGAAAAAATAAAAAACCCCCGAGGTAATTAAATACCACCAAAAGAAAGCTCTATCTGTCACAAAAAAAACGATAAAAATTTCATATGGGTACAGTGTTGCATGACCGCGCAATTCTCATTCAAAGTGCGACAGCGCTGAAATCTGTAAATTGGCCTGGGCAGGAAGGGGGTATAAGTGCCCAGTAGGCTAGTGGTTAAGGTTTGGTGGCTGACGTTTGGCAACTCGAACTTTCAGCTCCCTCCACAGATTTTCAATCAGATTAAGGTCTGGCCACTCCAGACCTTAATGTGCTTCTTCTTGAGCCACTCCTTTGTTGCCTTGGCCATGTGCTTTGGGTCATTGTCATGCTGGAACACGCATCCACGACCCATTTTCAATGCCCTGGCTGAGGGAAGAAGGTTCTCAGCGAGGATTTGACGGTACATTGCCCTGTCCATCGTCCCTTTTGAAGCAGTCCAGTTGTCCTGTCCCCTTAGCATAAAAACACCCCCAAAGCAGAATTTTTCCACCACCATGTTTGACAGTTGGGATGGTGTTCTTGGGGTCATAGGCAGCACTCCTCCTGCTTCAAACACGGCAAGTTGAATTGATGCCAAAGAGCTCAATTTTGTTCTCATCTGACACTACACTTTCGACCACTCCTCTGCATCATTCAGATGTCAATCTTCAGACGGGCCTGGATATGTGCTTTCTTGAGCAGAGGGACCTTGTGGGCACTGCAGGATTTCAATCCTTGTCGGCATAGTGTGTTACCAATTGTTTTTTTAGTGACTGTGGTCCCAGCTGGCTTGAGATCATTGACAAGATCCTCACGTGTAGTTCGGTGATGATTCCTCACTCATAATCATTGCCACTCCACGAGGTGAGATCTTCCATGGTGCACCAGACCTAGGGAGACTGATCGTTGTTTTGTGTTTCTTCCATTTGCGAATGATTGCACCAACTGTTATCATTTTCTCACCAAGCTGCTTGGCGATAGTTTGGTAGCCTTGTGTAGGTCTACAATCTTGTCCCTGACATCCTTAGACAGCTCTTTGGTTTTTGTGGAGAGTTTGGAATCTGATTGTTTGATTACTCCTGTGAACAGGTGTCTTTTATACAGGTAACAAAGTGAGATTAGCAGCACTCCCTTTAAGAGACTGCTTCTAATCTCAGCTTGTTACCTGTATGAAAGACCCTTGGTAGCCATAAATCCTGCTGCATGATAGAGGATCAAATACTTATTTCCCTCATGAACATGCAAATCAGTGCATAATTTGTTAGACATGCATTTCTTTTGAATCTTTTGTTGCTATTCTGTCTCTCAGTGTTACAATACACCTACTGTTCAATTTTTAGACTGATCATATATTTGTGAGTGGGTGAACATTGAAAATCAGCAGGGGATCAAATACTTATTTCCTTCACTGTATGTATGTTTACGGTGCTAATGCCCATTACAAATTTCTTTTTTAGTTATCGAAAATACTAGACACCTGACTGCTCTGCTGACTATCTTTAATAATTCCCTTGATACTAAACAAAAAAAAAGGGGAAAACACACATTTAAGTAGACACATATAAAAATACCATAACTGGCCATCTATTAAAAACAGCAGCTTAAGGCTACCCTTAGCCACCTATTAATATTGATAAGATACTGTTGGACTAAAGTTCTCATATAATGTTATTTCCATGTAAACATATATTTTGGGATCCTTAGAACATCCTTTGTTGAGCAAAAACATTTTCTGTGACCTCCTCCCGCCCGCCGTATAGGCAAATGATGGACAGGCAGGAGTTCTCTCATTTTGGGAGGACACCATATGACACCCTCCCACTCTAGCCTCACTTGCGCACACCTGGCGTGCGCGGCGATTGCTGGTAAACTGTGTCCCTTGGACACAGCCCATCATCGATCGAGGTAAACAGCCATTGGCCACAGCCAATACTTTGGCTGTGCTGACCATATCTCTGCTTGCTTCCTGTAATGACCCTGGACATTTTATGGACCATGTTCCTGCCTGCTGCCTTAACCAATACTTTGGCTGTGCTGACCATATCTCTGCCTGCTACCTATACTGGCCCAACATTTTTATGGACCTTGTTCCTGCCTGCTGCCTGCATGGCAGCCTGCTGCCTGTACTGACCTGGACCAATGCTCTCCTCAAACCACAGGTAATCTTTTGTTTACATTGTTTCCTATACAGTGTTTGTTGATTTTTGTGTTACACTTGCAATGTGGGGCACATAATCTGTTCAGACATTGAAAAGGTCTTACACATGTGCTATCCCCATAATCATGTGGAGTAGCAGAATGAGTTTTGGGGTGTAATTCTTGGTATGTCCATACTGTTTATTAGAAATATCTTATAGATTGACAACTTTGTGTTAAAAAAAATACATTTTCAGTTTCTTTCCACATTTTTCGAAAACATGTGGAAACAAATGTTCAAAAAGACTCATTATGCCTTTTAGAAAATACATTATGGTGTTTGCTTTCCAAAATGGTGTCATTTTGTGGGTGTTTCCACTTTCCTGGTGCTCCAAGGCCTTCAGAAATATGATAGGTTGTCAAGAAATTAGATATGTAATTTTTGCCCCTAGAAGACTTAAAGGTGCTACGTGGATGTTGGGGCTCTCTGTGTGGCCAGGCTGTGGAAAAAGTCTCGCACACGTGGTATCCCCATACTTAGGAGGTGTAGCAGAATGTGTTTTGTGGTGTAATTTTTGGTATGTACATGCTATGTGTTGGAAATATCGTATAAATGGACAGCATTATGTAATAAAAAAATATGTTTTCATTTTTTCTGAAAACGTGTGGAAACAAAATTACATGTTTAACCGCCTCTCATCTGCCATATAAGGAAATGGCGGCAGCAAGGTGGTTCTCTCATTCTGAGAGGATGCCATATAACGTCCTCCCGCTCTAACCGCGCCTGTGTGCCCCCGGACACAGCGGATCACCGATTAACAGAAAGAGCCGAAGACGTCGGCTCTGTCATGTGATCAGTGTCCAATCACAGCTGATCGCATGTAAATAAGGAAATGCCAGTTATCTGCATTTCTCTCCTCACAAACCGTCACGCTGACAGCTCGTGAGGAGAGAAGAGCCGGTAATCGCCACTCCTCAGAGGGGACATGTACACTAATCATCAGGGCACTGATGATCAGTGTGCTCTGATGATCAGTGTAGCCCCATCAGTGCCACCTGTCAGTGTCCAACAATGCCACCTGTCAGTGCCCATCAGTGCCACCTGCCAGTACCCATCAGTGCCACATCAATGCCACGTATCAGTGCCTACCAGTGCACATCAATGCCACATATCAGTGCCTATCTGAGTTGCCTTTCATTGCCACCTATCAGTGCCAGTCAATGCCGCCTATCAGTGCTGCCAATCAGTGCCACCTATCAGTGCCAGTCAGTGCTGCCTATCAATGCCGCCTATCAGTGCGCATCAGTGCCACCTATCAGTTCCTGTCAGTGCTGCCTATCCGTGCTGCCTAACAGGGCCAGTCAGTGCCACCTAACAGTGCCAGTCAGTGCCGCATATCAGTGCCGCCTATCAGTGCCGCCTTTCAGTGCCCATCAGTGATGCCTATCAATGCCCATCAGTGTCACCTACCAGTGCCTCCTCATCAGTGCCCATCAGTACCGCCTATCCATGCCCATCAGTGCAGCCTATCAGTGCCCATCACTGCAGCCATCATTAGTGCACATCAGTGAAAGAGAAAAATCACGTATTTACAAAATTTTATAACATAAATTAAGAAAAATATTTTTTTCAAAATTTTCAGTTGTTTTTGGTTTGTTTTAGCAGTGATTAAGAGTGATTTAGCGGTGATTAAATACCACCAAAAGAAAGCTATATCTGTCTCAAAAAATGATGATAAAAATTAATATGGGTACACTGTTGCATGACCATGCAATTGTCATTCAAAGCGCGACAGATGAAAATCGGCCTGGGCAGGAAGGGGGTATAAGTGCCCTGTAGACAAGTGGTTAAAAGACTCATTATACCTCACTGAATATACGTTGCTTCTCAAAATGGGGTAATTTTGTATGTAATTCCATTGTCCTGGTATTCCAGGGCCTTCAAAATTGTAATAGGTAGTCAGGAAATGAAATGTGTACTTTATACCCCTAGGACACCTGACAGTGCTCTTTGCATGTTGGGCCTTTCTATGTGGCTAGGGTGTGAAAAAAGTCTCACACACATGTGGTATTCCCATCTCAGGAGGAGTAGCAGAATCTGTTTTTGGGGTATAATTGCAAGTATGCATATGCCGTGTGAGAGAAATAACCTGCTACTATGACAATTTTGTGGAACAAAAAAAAATCTTAATTTTCAATAGAATTGTGGGAAAAAAATACAACTTCATAAAACTCACTATGCCTCATACTAAATACCTTGAAACTGGTATGAATGAAGATGTTAGATTAATATCTCTGTCTCTGATGCATCTGACTGGACATACAAAAACAAGGCAGGGGTTCCATCACAGCTCAGACTCCCCAATTTCTATATGTGTCTACTTAAATGTGTATTTTGTGTTTAGTGTCAGTGACTTAATAAAGATAGTCAGCATGACTACGAATAAAGAATACACGTTTTTGAATATTATATGAGATACTGTATTAATGCTTGGCTGCTCTCTGTCGTGTCGGTCCTGCCTATTGTCTATTTTTGATATTGGATAGAGATGTAAAGCCTTATCCTGGTTTTTATTTTTTTATAAAATCAGCAATTAAAGAAGTAATAATAAATGTTTACTTAGAAAGCTGCATGTTCCCC